AGTTATGTTGAATTTTCGTTTTCATCTGCGAAAACAACCGCTTTCCTTTTAGCTGAATTCGTCGTTATAGAATTTTCTTTTTTAACCTTTCAGATTTTTTTTTAAATTGTACTATCATTTTAATAATATTTATTATGTTCATTCAGCCTAAAAGTATTAGCAGTTGTTGTGCTTGATATTTGGATGGGCACAGAAGGAGAATTTTGCCACGAGGAAATATATTTTTGCCGATTCTAGATGAAACGCTGTTCTTATGCTTCTCTCTTATAGCTGATTCTCTTCCTATCCTTTTTTCTGAGAAATTGTCTTTCGGTTTTCTATAGTTTGTACAGCTTGATTAATTTAGCAGTTTACTTATAAGATTTATTTTCCTTTTACCAAGAATGTTTCTGCAATTTCTTGTTCTTTCTGTATTCCTAGATACTTAAAGGCAATACTCCATTTACAGGAAGCTAACGATTCAAGATAAAGATGTAAGCAAGAATTTGCGGGTGACATTGTTTTTAACATTTGTGTTGTTTTATTTTTAAAATGTAAAGAAATAAAATGATATCTGTTTATTGTTTATTAGAGTATTATTTAATGATTTTTTGTTGATTCGTGACTTTTGTATTAGGTATTTGATATTAGGTGCTAATAAACAAATTAAAATATTAGTGATATACTTTGAATTTTTTTGAAGAGTGTATATAGATACATGGAGCAAACCTGCAAATAAAAGATGAAGTAAAATCGTTTCCCACCTAAACGTGATTTCAGGTTTTTAAAGTAACTGTACTGGCCCTCAAGAAAAATATGTATTTAGATATCATTATCTTCCTCTAATAATAATTGGATGAATTTTTTCTTTCAAACTGGAGGTAGGTAATGTCTTTCCATGATGACGTCGATCGCTTGTGTAAGAGAATAATCAACTAACAAAATACTTCCGAAAGCAGGAAGCTAAATCAGAATCAATGAACTTACAATAAACCGTTGCAGATAGAACTCATATGAAGGATTTCATTCTGAGAGCAGAAAAGGTATTAGAGGGCTATGCATTTTCATACTTTAGTTCCAAGATGATTGGGATAACCTGAGGTAGTAAAACAATAAAATGCGTTTTGTATCGCAGACTGTTAACTTTTAAGTTGATACTTTTTGCTGATTCTAAGAATAAGTATTTAGATGGACAAATATACGGAGACCAAGCTTTTCTGATTAGCATTCAGTATTTTTATCGATAAGAAAAGTACTCATCTTATTTAAAATTTTGGCTGGAATTTTAAATAACGAGAATATATCTTTTTTTCTACATTATGATTTGTTTCCTATGAAATGCACATTCAGAAAATCACATTTACGTTTCTGCAAAGTGATTCTATTCTTTAAGTATGTATTATGCAAATATAATTTATTATTGGTAAAGATATGCACTGAATTTCAAAATATCCGGGCTAATTAATGAAAGTTACGCACAGATAGCAAAAACATTGCCTCGCAGAACTGAAATTAATGCAAGAGTATCGCAAAAAGTGAATGTTTTAGAAGCTTTCAAACGAAAGACATACAGTACATAGTTCAAACTAGTATCGAATTAAAATCATAATAAAGTTTACCGCAGTTATCAACTGAAAAAAAAATCTATTATTTTTTTATTGTTAGCCATGTTAAAATTATTTCATACAGTACGGAAAGAACTCGCCAAATACATTCGTGTGTAAAATTAAGGAAACTTGTAAATTATGTGAGTTTTTACAAAAAGAACCAGAAGTTCTTGCCGAAGAATTGTGAAAATATTCAGAGACGAATACGTAAGCGTACACGAGCGTGCCTGTGGAGCTGTGATTGTGGAGTAATGTGAGCACAGAACGTGTTTTCGGCGATTCGCTGTGCTCGTACCCCTTCTCGACATTCACCGTATTTCTTACAAGAGTTGGGTAAATTTTATAAGGTATCAGGTAATGTGAGTAGCCACGAACCTGTGGATGACGAAATGAGATGGAGAATTGTTCGCAGAGTGGAGCCAGACTAATCAAGCGCAGGCAGATACAGAGTTTAATGTAATGCCCAGTGTCGTCTGCAATTTGTGGAAACAGTTTCAGGATACTGAATTCATGTCGACAAGACCTGAATAAAGTCGGCCAAGGTTCACAACGACAAATGACGATCCTCTTTTGGCATCGCGACGAAACAGAACTTTTACAACTTCACAGTTCTCAGCTGAGATGTATGCTGCTCCTGTTGCGGGATCCGGATAATACCCGAATAGTCTGTGTAAACCACTTGGGTGTCCGAATCCTGCTCGCAATTGTCAATCAATTGTATGCTGCCACTGAAACGCGAGTTTCATGGTCTACAGTTTCTAGAAGGCTGCATGAGATAGGGCTTTATGCCAAAAGACCCGCTGTTTGCGCCCCGCTCACTGCAACACATAAAAGAGCGAGTTTAGCAGGTGCAGACAACAAGTATCTTGGACCGGACTTTGTGGAGCACTGTGTGTTTTACAGATGAGTCGAGATTCAGCTTGGACACTGATTCTCGGTGTATCTGTATCTGGAGAGAGAGTGAAATACAATATTATTCCTCTCTCATCAGAGAAAAGTATCATCAGGGAGGCGTAATCGTTTGAACAGGCATTTTGTTAGACGTTTGCATACCTCTGCATGCGTTTGCCAAAGGATGCTTGCTGTGAGATATAAAAAAATGTTAGATTCTCTATGATCTAATTTTCAGGGGTACAATTGGTCCTGGGTTCCTACTAGTGGACGACAACGCTAGACAGTATAGGGTCAGATGGTCTACGATTATCCGAAAAATGAGGCTATTCTCCGCATGAATTGGCCAGCCAGATCTCCTGAAGCATGTCTGGGACTCTCTTGGTAGGTTAATTTCATCTATTCATCCTCCTCCGAGAACCACCGCAGGGTTGAAAACTTCTTACTAAATGAAAATTTTGTATAAAATTTGACATTTCAGAACTAGCCAGTATTTTCCCCCTTATTTGAAGCATGGTAATCTTCGTATCAAATATCATGCCTCAAAGAATAGTTGCAAGATACTAAACCGTACTCATAGGGTTTAAATTGAATACCACTTTCGAAGAACTGAAATATAACTTAAAGTTAATCGTAATGTCAGTACAATTCGTCTAAAAATCTTTCGATGGAAGGGCAGAAAGGAACATATTCTTTTTATTCATGTTGAATCTTTTATGAATCGCGTCAAGAGAAAAGAGAACCAAGCCAAAGTATAACTTAAAATTAGTCAAAACAACAACCTTGTAGTTTGGCGTATATTTTAATTGAAACTCTACTGATTTCGAAAGCGAACAAGCAGAAATTGCTTTCTGCTAATCTGTATTTGTTCGCTCACGGAATTGATAGAGTTTCAATCAAAATCTAAGCCAAACACAAGGTTGATGTTTTGCCTAATATAAAATTTTATTTTGGCGTGTTTCGCTTCTATCTTGATGTTTTGCTACCAACTGGTTTCGAGAAAGTTCTTCCAGTTTCATTTGTTTGCCCATTTGAGCCATTTTGCTTTTTGGATTGCTTTTTCACATTGTTGCTGGATCTCTTCATTTTTGAAAAAATAATTTTGCTTTTGATGAAGAGGAACCTGACCTGTTCGACTTCGAAATCACCAGAGTTTCAATAATAAATCTGCGAGAAACACTAGGTTGTTCTTTTGCCTAATTTTAAGTCATAGTTATGTTTCCTAGAAGCAGATGAGAATTCACCTTTTCCGCTTTTATAAAACATATTTACATAATTACATTAAAAATGCTTAAAAGTTATTTTTTAAATGACGTTATGCTTTTGCATGAACATTATTCTATGAAAATTTGATTGGATGAATGTTTATAGCTTTAGGTTTATCGAAGATGAAAACATTAAAAATGAGCAATGCCGTCATTGAGATTTAAACTGCGGACTTCCAGATGCTAGCCGGTAGTGCTTCAACTACATTATCAAGACACACCTTATTAAGGAGGGAGAAAATAGCTTACACTTTAATTACTAAACACAAGATGTGATATGTTATGTTAACCACAAGCTGTCTTCTTTTGGTATAGAACATTTTCGCTTCAGGTTTACTTCTCATTATAAAATGGGTTCTTTCACAAATTAATTACCACTAAATCTAATTTCAGCTAACCATTTTCTTTTGCTCTCTTTTTTTTAAGTTCCCTTATTGCTGTTGGGCCAACTATAGTTTTTATTTCCATTTCAATAATCATTTAGTTTCCGAATTTAGTCTCTGTGCTAGATGCTTTACGCAAATAAACGAAATTTTTATTTTACTAGTTTTTCCATAATACCAATTTGGGCCCACTTTTTTCGGGTAAAGAAAGTTTTTGAGTTCCCTTTTATAAAGTGCTTTTAAGTTTCATGAAAATTTCAGCTGTCGAGTTAAAATTCGTGATTTTAGAAAATGAAGAACAGATTTTGCACCATGCAGCGCCTAGGGAGGAAACCGAAATTCATCTTTATTTAATACAGTCACATTGACAGAATTCCGAAAGTATGAAGAAAAAATATTTCTGCGCAATTCCGAACGCCTGGAAAAATCAATACGTAAATTTCTAGACTCCTCAACATGTCAAAACACAAAACATGTGCCCCATAAAAATCAAATTTTTTCACTATGCGCAGCTTACTATCCTAGGCATACTTTTTAAAAGACAAACCACTAACTTATTTTAGATATTTCTTACCTTACATCATGTATTAGGTCCAGTTCTTTTTTGCATTTATGTTAATTAAAAACTTTTTGTAATCTAATTTTGAAGAAAAGAGTACGCTTTAGTGAAAAGTGAAGTGGACTTCTGTCTCACTCCGTTAATTAACAAAAGCTTCCCGCTAAGTTCACATTTTCGTATTTTTTCTGCTTGAATATTGTGCCCCCCGTCTCTTGATTCCTGAACCACCAGGGGAGGAAGAATTTGAAGCATAGCGCCCTCTGTTCCCCACTTAAGATACACACGCAGCTTCGAACGACGCTCATTCCTACGAGTAGTCAACTTCCCGTTGGCATGGCGATGTAGAAATCCCGAGGTTTTTGCTACCCAAACAGAACGCTCGAGATCCATGTGCAAGACATCCAATAAAGAGAAGCGAGAAGACCGAACGTGCGAGGAATGTTGAGACCCTCACTGCGAAATTTTGCAGCCGAGAGGTTTTCGACTGTGGACACCTGATGATCCTTTTGCATTAAGCTTTCATATTAAAAGCAAATCCAGTTCTTTCCTTTGCTTACGAATATTGGAAGTATAGACAGACAGTATAGACTATACAGTATAGACAGACATTCAAAGGAATATAAAAGATAAAGATCAAAACCTAAGACAAGAAAGGACACTAAAGGTAATTCAATATTTTTACCTTAATATTTGCAACATCCTTCATTAAGAAAGTCTTTAGTTATTACATCTCATTCCTTCAGTGCAGTTTATTATTTCTGAAAGTAAACTTCCATGCGAAATAATATTTTGAGGCTTTCTGAATTCTGGAAAGTTTAGGAAACCTTTTTTTATTTATTTGAAAAACAAAATAGCTTTTGCATCACATCTAAAAACTTAATTGAATGCTACATTAATGGTAATTAATGTAGTCTTAAACGTCTGACTTCAATGTCCATAACTCTTAAGTTTTAAAAAATATTTCAATTATTGCTTATTGTTAGATAAACTGTGTATTTTTTATTTCTTGCGTCAATCTTTAAGTTCATATACTTCAAGAAGAAGAAAGTTATCCATTTACCTTTTTGAAGTGTTATTTTCTGACTCTACGATATTTGCTGTGTTAACAATGTTTATATACTATGTTTGGAATATTTTTATTTAACGCTTTTGAAAGAAACCTGGTATAGTGATAATTATTTTAAGAATGTGGGTTTTGGGAATACAGATATATTTAATCACCTATCAACTCTATAACATCTTACATAACTTACAACTCTATAACAACTCATAACTCTATAACATCTTACATAACTTACAACTCTATAACAACTCATAACTCTATAAAATCTTACATAACTTACAACTCTATAACAACTCATAACTCTATAACATTTTACAACCGAAATTCATCTCAGAATTTCTCATAGCGAAAATATCTTAGCGCTCTTATCTAAGAAATAGCTCATAGCGTGAAAGATTTCAGCTGTGTTCAAACGCATCTCAACATAACGCAGTACAATATTCTATTTATGTTCTTTGTAAATAATTTTAACTCATTTAATTTGAAAAAGATATAACAAGAATGCTGCGACCTTCAACTATATGCAGAAATGCAATGTCAGTCTTCCGTTAAAAATTCAAAATCGTATTCAACGAAACAACTTAAATGTGCAATACTGTCTACGCACCATAGAAAAGCTTACAAAACTTTTCGGCACATTTGAATCAAAAAACCAGTTTCTAAACACAGAAAAATATTTATCAGCAAAAACCCAGAAATCATTATAGTATTTGAAGCAATATAAAATCATCGTTTGGATACGTAACTTCAGAGAATTATTGAAAATAGTAACAAAAGGAGCAAATTAAACTATTTTTTTTTCACTACCGCATACAATCATCATCACTCTCAAATGTTAAAAACTATGCGTCTTTTGCTTTTTGAAATACCAAGTTTCAAATTCTCGTTTAACCATTTAACTGAATAAGTTATAATACTCTGACATACATGCGCTTTCGATTTAACCAATTCAGTATATGGAATCTGAAAAAGGTTCTTAATCCTGAGGCGATTTCAAATGTAATTATTTGTTTAAGAAATTGCACCGTACTTCAAGAAACTGGAATTAGGATATTTCTGTACACCAGTTTTCAGAAACCGAAATTGTTTTAAAAATGTGCTTAGTTATTAGCTCTGCAAGCAACACACAAAAGAAATACTTAATGGATATGACTAATGATGATAAGGTACAACTATCTTCCAAGAGAAAAATGAAACATTAACATTTTTCATGATTCACCATTCCAAACGTTTGCTCATGATTTATAAAGCAATTTTCTTATCATTACTGATGAAATTTTATGGAATTATCTGATACTATATTTGCACACAGTTATTTTTGATAGATAAATATATGGAGAAATTAATGTAAGTATGTATTAATATAGGTGAACAGAGACCTCTGCATAATACCACAGGTTAGTAAGTAATAAAATACGGATATTTATGCACTTTTGAATAAAAATAAAAAGTTTACATTGGACGGAAATTACAATTTGCAGTCTGTAAAAACAACTGTGACCGGAGAAATGTAATGAAAACTGGCATAATCTGTCTCAAAAAAGTTATGTGTAGCTCTTAAATGAAAGAAAGATGTAATTAATTGTCTTTTAAGTTTTTCATTTCACATCACGATAAAAAGTTAAGTTTTGATTATTTGTTTTAAATAATTTTAAACAATTGGTATTCAATGAATGTTGAAGAAGCCTGTCTCATAAATATAAATAAGTGTGTGTTAGAAATTCAAGTCAAAACTTGAATGTTTTAGTTATTGAAATATTATAATGTTCATTAGATACAATCTTTATAGTTAAAACTTAACAAAATCTACTAAGTTTGTATTCAGTTGGAGAGCATTAAATAGAATTTCTTTCCATTCTTCGTAACAGAAAACCTTGCAATCTTATCAATGCCGCATCGACTACCGATGCTGATTATGCTAATTGTGCTAGTAAATTTTATATAAAGTTTAAATCCAAAAAGCTCAAAAGTCATTAATAGATACATTTTGCCTTATGTACTACCGCATGGCTCTGCTGAAAAACATCACTCTTTCTCCTCCTGGCTTTAAAAACCGTGATTAAATTGAATGCTCATTGGGTGAATGATTACCATAATCATTATTGTTTCTAATCAAATGAAGAAAGCACAAATCCCAACTAATCTTTATTTTTGTTAAAAATTACGCCAAAATGTAATCTTAAACTTACGTAGACTTAGAAAAAATCTGTGTCGATATCTCCTCAAAATTGGTAACGTTTTATTCAAAATCTAGGACAACCTAAGATTACTTTTTTACCTAATTTTAAATTTTATATTGGCGTTTTTCTTTGCCAATTCCTTCAGAATAAAGACCTTTCACTTTTTGTTTTTCATTTTTCGTATTAAGACCATCTAGATGATCCATCTAAATTGCATTCTTTTTCTCGGCTACCTTAACAGTAAGTTTTCAGGAATCAGGCTATGGAGTTTTACGTTTAGCTCATTTCAAGCGATCAGGTTTATGACGAAGGGTCGTAGTATGCTGGTTCTCGAAATTACTATTCCGTCATTTGTCAATTTAAATCTGCCTTTTTAAGGGCAATTTCATTGGAAATGTAATGGCGTAGACAAATCTCTGACATTAAGACTTTTTGATACATTGGTAAACCTCACTACCCACTCCGGGACTTTAAACTCTTAACTTTTGTTTTAATTAAAAATATCGATAACTTTATCCAAAAGATTTTATGTTGCTGAGTAAATTTCGCTTTTTAAAAAAATATTATTTCCTTTCACTGAGAACTATTTTCCAGGTACTGCACTACATTTAATAATTTAAATTATCGTTTAAAGTGGAATCGCGACGATTCAAAATTAATTAGGATTATTTTCTGGCGTTGCATGTAGATGTGATAATAATTCTGTCCTTATATTTATATGATACTTTTTGGGCTCTATTTTAATTATTTTTTCAATAAATAATTGCAAAATTCCTCTCAGTTTTAACGAAAAATAAAATTTTTCTAACCAACATCAAACAGCCCACTACTCTTTGAATTGCTTCAAATAAAAGTAATCAACAAGATGGTTTTATATTCCCGGAATGTACCGTAATTTACCAATAAAAATCTTACCAATAATAAATTGCTTTTTTACTGCTTTTTAAGCAATGAAATTCTGCTTTCAAAGCCAAATAAAAATATTAGGTTGTTTGTGTTCTCGGATGTATTTCTTCAATCATGTGCAAGAGCTGTTCAAAGAGAATTTTAAATATGATCATTAGCCTCAACATCTTTTTATCCAATGTTGTAAGTATGGTGTAAGTATGGTGTAAGCAATGTATCCAATGTTGTAAGCAAATGAGACTTTCATTCTGTTTTTGCTTTTTCACCTTTTGTATATTGCATAGTATAAATATAGTTATTGTCTATAGATAATGTGAGACTAAAATATACGCTTGAAGGGTATTTAGAAGAGGCACATTCTGCAAGAGAACATATTGACCAGAACTAAGAGTGAAAAGTTTTGATGCAATTTTATATATTCAGAAATGCAACTTCATTACTACTTTATTGCTTATTCTTATAGTTTTTCGTTAAATATTTATAGGAAAGTTTTTGCACTCTCGGTGAAAAATAAATGATTGCTAAATAAAGTCAATATTATTTTTCAATGTATAGAATGTAGAATTGATCTCGAAAGCTCAAAATAATTCATTTGTGATACAAGTAAAGATACCAGATGCATGAAGCAAATGCATAAATATGTCCAAACTTATAGATCACAATCCTAATGTTATGCAAGCTTCATAAACAGACAACACTACATGCAGTCGCCCCGATACTGATTCCTATTTTGGGTTATTTCCTTAATAATTGCTAACAGCAGGAATAATTCATGTAATATGCTGCAGGAATTAATAACACTAAAGACTATTCTAAACAACTCGGCATCATATCTTAATCAGTGTGATTAAGATTTTGTTAAATAAAGCAGCAATACCATTAAGTAACCCAGAAGCAAATATTGTATTGCTGTAGCTATCATTACTAATTCTTATAACTAAAACCTGAATTATGTAGACTATGAGATTTTGCTGCTATATTTGTAAATGAAAACAAGTTATTTGTAACAGATAACACTATTGAAGGAAAACAAATTACTAGATTTGCAACATGTTACTTCAGAACATTGTTCAACTGCTTTCGATGAACATTAATTGTACTGTGTAACATAAGAACATGCAAATTAAGCATATTATAAAATCTGAAATCTTATCAGTAACCAACAGGTTTATAGCGTATTTATGAGGCCCATATCTCATTAACTGCGCCATAAACGTGTTGCTAATTTGTACATCTTCAAGTTTCACTTAAACGTATCTTTTCTAGACTTTATAAAAACAAAGCGAAATGAACGGTTCAAATCAAATTGTGAATGGAGATAGGGAAACTCTCTAAAAGCAGATATTAGTTAATATTATGAAATAAAAAACATGAGATAAGAATAGCAAAAATTCGGATGAGCTTTTTCAGAAAATTATTTCCAGGAAGTTTTGACAGCTCTTTGAAAAAATAAGTATGTTTTGATTGGAAAGGTAATATAAGTAATACATATGCACTGTTAATTTTAGCACTTTA